CGAAAAAAACGACCATGTATAGTAAGGCGTTTTTAGACGAAAAAAACGACCATGTATAGTAAGGCGTTTTTAGACGAAAAAAACGACCATGTATAGTGGATATCAATGGAAATTAGGGTTCACTGGTTGGCACTGGAAAAATAATCAATCAATAAGAGTTTCGTATATGCTAGCTTTAGAGATGACTTTTATAAGTTTAGCACGTGGGAGGCGGGGGGGGGGGCGACTAGCCTGCTGACATCGTCCTGACGTGTCCTGATGGGAACTTTGCCGACTTGATTCTTCTGGACGTCATGAGCAACCCCAATCTTCTGCGCCACTCAGAACACTAAAGTCCAACTTAATGAAAGGCTCAAACGCTCCATTTGTGCGCGCGAGCGCGTGCGTGTGACTTGTGAGAGAGAGACCAAGAGAGTTTGCTTGTGTGCGCGCTCGTGCGTGAATCCAGCGCGTCGGAGCACGTGTTGGTGTTTGTGCGCTAGCGTTTAAAAATGGCCGAAGCACGTTGCTACGGCAACCGCGCGCCACCTCCGAGCTGCTTGACGGCGATCGTGATTGTTGGCCGGACGCCAGTGTGCAGCTCGCACAAGGGACCGCCCCCTCCACCACGGTTGGCGGCCTTTTGCGCGGTTTCTCTTGTGCCAACTGGGATGACCTCCCCCCCAGCCGGGGTGCTTGACTCGCTTGAGCAAGTCCACCGGGAACTTTCTTTGCAGCCACTTTTTGATCATATGGCGCCCTCGTGTGGATAAAAGCTGGTCCGCATGCACCGTCGTGGCTCCGTCGCTTCAGTGCAGCGCCACTTGTGGCCGTTGAAGATGGTGCATGTGGCATCGAGGCATCGAGACATCTCACTCACGGAAAATAAAAGAAATCCTACTCGTGTTCATGTCAATAATGCTAACACTATATATATATATTTATAAATATACTGACATTTCACGCACGCTGCGTGCAATGTGAAGGAGGCGGTGCAGTTGCTTGACGTGATGACGTCACCCCAAGGCACGCACTGCGACTTTTGGACTGGGGCAACCTTCTTCAGCAAAGCTAAAAGCGGACGTTTGGAATCCACACGCGGACGACGACAACAACAGCACTGCCTTTTCGCAAGGTACGTTCCGGGCAAATGAAAAATGAAAGTCGGACATGATCGAGCAGCAAGACTGTCATTAGCACAAGAAGCTAACTTAGTTTTATTTATTTTTTTTTTTTGTGCAACGCCTCCCCTCCTCGAGCCCAGTCCGCCCGACACTCGCACTGAAAACATGGCGTTTTTCAGCGTTTTACTGCTTTTGAACTAGTCACACTTGGCAGTCGGCGAAAATCGACGCTGACCGCGTTCTGCAAACCAATCTCGACAGTTCGGCGCCGGCGTGGCTTTTCTATTGGCGCTTCTGCTTGCCTCGATTCGTGAGTTTGCGCGAACATAAAGCGCAACTTTGAATCGCTCGTGCCACTTGTTCAATGGGACTTTGGAAAAAGGCTTGCATTGTTGTTGCTCCGCATTCGTACTTTTTGATGCGAAGGATGGAAATTGGCACCAAAAGCTTTAATGTACACTTCAACGTATTCTGTGTGTGTGTGTTTCGATGGTAGAGCTTTGCACCTGCCAAAGCGTCAAGGTGGGCCGTGGGGGTCAAAGGTTAAGGCCCCAGTCACGTTGACACCGCCGAGCGTGTTCCTTCAAAACCCCTTTGCAGATTCACAGACGATTGTCTGTGGAGTCCCCCCTCCGAGCACGCTCACCCGCACGCCCGCATGGACAGGAAAGAGGCCGCCGTGTGGCATCCATCATGAAAGAAGAGCATTTCACTAAGTTGAGGATATTAGCAAAGGAGAAACCTCCATCTTCCTCTACATCGCTACAAGAACTCCAAACCGCAATCTCATACAATCGAGTACATTGCAATCCATTTTGATTGATATGAAAACTTAAACTAAATAACTTTGTACGTATCAGAGATGCTCATGCGGAAGCCCCTAGCTGTCTCTGCAGACTAAGTTTCTCACCCATACATCACTGACCTCCCCACCCCGGAGGGAAAAATCCGGGTTATGAACAAACCACTCTGCAAAGGAGCCTCAGAAAGTCTCGTTTTTCTGGAAAAGTCCGCCTTGAAAGGGAATCTTCGCTCGTGGTCCGATAGCGTCCTTCGTCGTCAGTCGAGCTTTGAGCCGAACCAATCGGAAGCGCTCGTTGCTGAACCAAGGAAAGGCTGGAGAAACTGACGTTGTCACTCCATTGGCGTTGGAAATGTACGTCTGCGTCTTTGCGCCTGCACGGGAACGCCACCGCTATCCACGTCGAGAAAGATTTGCATCCTTGTCAGGGTACTCCGATGGCAGTTTTCAAATGGGATGACATGCGATTGATTGATTGCTCGGTAAATTGTTGGCGCCATTGTTGTCCCCAACGATACTGTTCTGTTCCACCACCAGATGGCGCTCACTCAGGTGTCCTCCAACAAGTGCGCAGGAGGTTTCCAGAAGGTCTTTGAACACGATAGGTGAAGGCGAGCGAGCTGACGTGGCCTCCTTCCTGGATTTGTCTTCTTCTTCCTCATGTTCTTGTGCTTTCTTTTTTTTTCTGGGGTGCAGCGTGGAGCTGAAGTGCAAGATGAAGTTTGCCGTCTTCCTGCCACCCAAAGCCGAGACGCACAAGTGTCCCGTTCTGTATTGGATCTCAGGTGGGCATCCGAGCTTGCTTTGTTAGCGTGAGGGGCGGGCCGCTTGCGCCTTTTTAGCCTTTTGTTCAAATGTTGATTTTTTTTTTTTTTTTCCCCCTTGGGAAAAATGACGGAGCGTCCGGGCTTAGTCATGGTCCATCTCCAAGTCCGGTACACTTTGGCGCCGAGAAACTTAGAAGTTGTATTAAATCTTTCCCAGCAAAAAGTCATTTTGGGATGGACGATCGTTTTTTGAAAAAAACTCGCCCGGCGATGCGTCGGCCGATAAGATTCCGAGAGGCAAACGTCGGGACGGCCCGTCTCGTCAGTTTTGTGTTTTGAGGGTCCCGTGGCGTCTCGCAGGCCTGACGTGCACCGAGCAGAACTTCATCACCAAGGCGGGAAGTCAGCTGGCCGCAGCCGACAACGGCATCATGGTCGTCGCGCCGGACACCAGCCCACGTACGCGCGCAGGCACATGCACATGCACGCCGAGATGTTGGAAGTGCGGCCATCGTTGTGGAGTTTTGCCCGTGGCTTGCAGGCGGCTGCGGCGTGGAGGGCGAGGACGACGGCTGGGATTTGGGCACCGGCGCCGGGTTCTACGTGGACGCCACCCAGGAGCCGTGGAAGAGCAACTACCGCATGTACTCCTACGTCACCCGGGAGGTGATCGAACGAGGCTTGAATGGCACCGTTGAAACAGAAAAAAGCAAAAAAGTGGCACCTCGATGGCTTGATTGAAAAAAAAACATTTTTTTGTGTGTGTGCCGCCCTCAGCTGCCCAAACTGATCAACGACAACTTTCCCGCCGACCCCGAAAGGATGTCCATCAGCGGCCACTCCATGGGCGGCCACGGGGCGCTCATCTGCGCCCTCAAGAACCCCGGGAAGTACAAGGTGGCGTCACCGCTGCGGGAGAACGAACCGTGACCGCGCAGCCCCTTGACTTTGGTTGTCACGCTAAACAAAAAGAACCCTTTTGGGGAGACAATTTTCGCTCCGTGTCTCGGAGGTGGCGGTTATCACTCTTCCATGCAGGAAAAATGTCAGATGGGGCCGGAGGGCGCGCAGACTAAGTTGGAGATGACAAAAAGTGTTCCGAGTTGTGGCTTTTCAGCAGCGCCGCCTTCTCACGCCGTTTGGGACCGTCTCTCTCTCTCTCTCTCTCTCTCTCGCAGGCCGTGTCGGCATTCGCCCCCATCTGCAACCCGGTGCAATGCCCGTGGGGGCAGAAGGCATTCGCCGCCTACCTCAAGTTGTGGCTTTTTAGCAGCGCCGCCTTCTCACGCCATTTGGGACCGTCTCTCTCTCGCAGGCCGTGTCGGCGTTCGCCCCCATCTGCAACCCGGTGCAGTGCCCGTGGGGGCAGAAGGCATTCGCCGCCTACCTGGGGCCCGACCGCGCCGCCTGGGAGGTAAACGCGCCAGCGGGTTAGCGGGTAGCCGCCGACCGGACTCTGAAGTCAAAGTGCGCCATTGCTCTCCCCTCCCTCCCCAGGCCTACGACGCCACCGTTTTGGCTTCGGGTTACGCGGGCCCGCCGCTGGACATCCTGCTGGACCAGGGCCGCGACGACCAGTTCCTGTCGGCCAGTCAGCTGCTGCCCGACAACTTGATCGCCGTCTGCTCCGAAAAGAAGATCCCCGTCGTCTTCCGCCTGCAGCCCGTAAGTAGCCCGCCGGCCGGCCGGCCGGCCGTCCGTCCGTCCGTCGGCTTCCCCTGCTCTCGCGTGGCAATGGGTCGAGGGTGTCCCTTGCCCGCCTGTTCGCGTGAAGACGGCTGCGACGGGCTCCGCCGCCCTGGTGGGCAGAAGCGGCTCACATGGCATTTGGATTTCCTCCAATCAGCGTCGACTCTTTTGGGGCGATTTTGGCAGGTGCTCCCTTCATTGGCGTTTCTCTCCCGCAGGGTTACGACCACAGCTACTTCTTCATCTACTCCTTCATCAACGACCACATCAAGCATCACGCCAAGTACCTCAACGCCTGACCGAGCGAGCGGTCCCGACTCCGGCCCGCTAGCCACCGCTGGCGTGTCACTTTGCGACGCCTGCCTGTTCCACACAATAAAAAAAGCCTCAATTCTTCTTGGTTGACTGCGTGCGGCTGCGTTCATGGCGGGTCCTCAGCACCTTTTGGAACTCATGGGTGGCACCCCCTGGAAAGTTGGAAAAGGAAAAAAAACAAACAAACATACAAATGCCTCTTCTTGTTCATTTGGAGAATCTGTCGTTTGTGACTGAGTCGGTGTAGCCAAGTGAAAAAAGGGCCACGATACAATGCAGGCTTTTTCTTTAGTTTTTTTTTTACTTTTGGTGAAAAAAAAACAAAATACTTTTTGTAGATCCAAGAAGCTCCACAGCAGTTAAGGCGGATGAAAGGGACTTCATGCAGAAGAAAAAAAAACCCCGAGGTCACCATCAAAATGTTTCAAATACGCTTGCTTCGCGGTGGATTAAAAAAAAAAAAAAGCATCAGAATATTCAAGTTAAGATATTTACACAAGTAGGGTTCATGTTTTGTTCTTTTAAATAAAAAACATTTACATTTGCATCACCGTCAAAAACAAAAAATGCAACCCCCCCACATCATAAATAGAAAAGTGAAAGTGGCACAAAAATGTCCCTTTGTTTTTATTGCTGTCTATGTCACGCTGCTTTCAAAATACTCGACATTGAAATGCGCGATGGAGCGCGATAAAAGCCAACTCGGAATTTTGAGGCAGTCGATTTGGAAATGCTGACCGGTAAATGGCGTCAACGCAGCCTAACGGTGGCATCGCCGCTCGACCGCACCGCGTGACTCCCGAAAGGGAAAAAGAATCGACGCTTTGGCCGAAGCGCATCCCGTCAAAATCGAAAGGGAGGCGCCCTCGGGCACCAATTAGCAGCGTAAGCCAATCACGTTCAGCCCTCCCGCGTAAGGCCGACCCAAAAGGGACCCGAAAGGCCACAGAGATGCTGCAAGCATCTTGGCAAAAAAAAGACCCCCCCCCCCCCCACACACACGATTCCAAAGACTGAGGATAAAAATAGACTTGGCCAAAATAGTTCATCATCTTCAAAGTCCCGTTAGAAATATACTTTGCTTGCCCTTTCACAGTGCGTGTGGATTTCTTCGGCTGCAAACTTAACTTTAAGAGTGAGCGGCTACCAAAGTTTGCGTTTTCTTTTGCTGCGGTCGCGGGTCGGGTGGCGGCGTCACGTGCGCAGTCCCAGGCCCGGTCCCGGTCCAGGTCCAGGTCCATGTGCGGTGGCGGTCTTGCGCTCCAGCAGGGCCCGCACCACGACGCCGACCTTGAGCAGGCCTTTCTCCTCCAGGATGTGCTGCGGCAGGCACAACTTGTCCTGCAAGCAAACGCAGCGCGCGTGCGAGAGACACACGCACACGCAAAATGGAATCAAAGGCCGCCGCCAGCTTTGGCCACGGCGGGCCAGCCGCAAATGCAAACGCGGCACCCGCCGAGTGTTCCAGCCTGGTTTTGAAAGCCCAAGGCCAGTTTTCATCGCCGACTTTGAAAAGCCCAACCCGAGGCGAAGACACTCATTTTTGGCTTGGACCCGGATCAAAACCCAAATCCCGGCTTCAAACCCCGATTTGAATCCCCAGCCCGAGTTCGAAACCGACATGAAAACGCAACGTCCAAACCGTACCCCCTATTTGAAGCCCGCCCACCCCCCCCAATATAAATAAAAATAAAACAATAAGCACACAGCCGAGGGGCAACAAGAGTTTACCAATGAGCTCAACATCCAAATGGTGAAATGCGCTCTCTTTGTTGACCAACATCAAAGTCTGTTGCATCGGTTTTCAAGGACACAACAAAGCACAAATGGATGTCACCTTTTCAAACGGAGCAGTTCCGGACGGAAGCGATTCCAGAAACATACTCAAGTGAGCAGGAGAAGACGCAAAGGCTAAATGCTAAGCTGAGGTTAGCGTGAGCTTTGCCTCTGCGCGAAGACGGCGCGCGCAGGAGACGTTTGGAAGTCAGACAGCCGGTTGAAATTTGGGGGCCGCGACCGTTGGCGGCTTGGACATTTTCCGTTTTTGCGGGTAGAAATTGCGCAGCCCAACGCGGCTCGCGAGCGGGCCTCCGTTCAAAGACAAATTGCTTCACAAGGTTGCGAGTGGGAACTGCGTTCGGCTGAAAAGGCCGGCCGGCATTCGGGGTTGAAGTTGCAACCGCTTTCAGGCGGATGTTTGCTTCCTCTTCCAGTTGGAATTGTGCACATATGAGAAGCGTGTGCTCCTGGGGGGAGGGGGCGGGGGGTCGTTTCTCGCCGGCCGGCGCCGCGGTTACGTCAGATGGCTCCACGCGTAGGCGGCAAAGAGCACCAGCAGGCAGAGGACGTGAACTAGGCTGCAGCCAATCAGGTCCCACCGCCACCGGGGCGGAGGCGGGGTTTGAGTGGTCACCGAGACCGAGTCCGGCGGCGACGGGGCGGCGGCGGCGGCTTTTTTTCCCGAAGGCGGCTGCCCGCACACCAGCGTGCTGACGGTGGCGCACAGGGGCGGCAGGCGGCGCTGGATGATGTCATAGGGGGAGCACAGAGAACGCTGACGGTCGCAGGAGGACGGCCGGGATGGAGAGGGGGCGGGGAAGGGGGGGGGGGAGACAAAGAAGACAACGAAAAGGTGGAAAAATCCAGGCGGAGAGCGAAAAAGGGAAAGAAGAGGCAAGAGGTTAAACGGCGAGTCGGGAACCACGGCAACAGAGCTGAGCGTAACCATGGTGACCAGCGGGGGATGCTGATCGGGAGGAGGAGGAGCGCCACCTCCTTCTCGTCCCGATGCAACCGGCGAGGAGAAGCAGGGGGTGGAGCCAGCCAGCGAGCGGGAACTTTGCAGCAAGTTAGCACGGGAGCAACCAGCTCACGTCGCGTTATCCAACGGTGGAAACGGGTCGACTCCGTGCGTCCAAAAGTGGCCGCGGCAGGCGGAAGGGAACCCCCGCTCGCCCGTTCCCAATGCGGCTAAGGAGCGTGCGCTTTGCAAAGTAGGGATTTCGCTGAGACGCTCCACTTGTAGCAACGTTAGCATCACATGAGAGCGGCCAACAATCTGATTTTCACCGTCGCCCGTTCGCCCGTGCCTTATTGGAGTCGTCTCTTGAGTCACACCGGAAGCGGCGCCAGCAGAGGCGAAAGCAATGTGCTAGCAGGGGGCGGCTTGCGGCCGGCCGGCGGGACAACGGAGGAGCCTGCGGTGTTAGCGCAGGTAGCATGTGGCCAGCTATCGGGCGGTTAGCACACAAGCTAGAAGCGCGTTAGCACGGCAGTTTAACAGCAACGATCCGAGCACTAAGAGCGGCGAGCGGAAAACAGGAGCAGACTCCCAAAAAACAAGTGAGCACAAACAGGCAGTCGCCGCTCGGGATGGAGGAAGAAGCCACGACGCAAACGGCACCTCCTGCGAGGGAGGCCGAGCGCTTTGGGGTTTGAGTCCCCAAAGCGGGACGGCCTCGGCCTTCTCGGAAGGACCGCGTCAAACGCTTCGGCAAAGCGCAAGTGAGCCCGCGGAGCGTTTTGGTCGACGAACGGCAGCGCAAGTCGCCACCGGGACGTTTCCAAGTCGGAAACGTGGCTCGCTTTTCAAGCCCAAGTTGAAGCGCTGGCCACGCCACGTGCACACATGACGAACATTCCGACTTGAGAACGTGCCCAGTTTGCGGCCCGCCACGCGGCCTTACCTCGGGCACGCCGATCTTCCGACAGGCGTCCAGGAAGTTCTCCACGTTCCGCCGACACTTGGCCATGCTGAGTTTGGGCTGTCGCGGCAAAAATGTCAGCGAAGGCTTCCAAAGGAGCGGCGCCAGGGATGGAACCATTCGTCGAAAAGCCGAAGAGTCCAAATGCATTTCAACCGCTTGAAATTTGCAAGGCCGGAAAACAAATCCAACTCAAAGATCCAATTTTTCATGCCAAACGGTTTTGTGAAGATAACCGTCTATTCGATATGCAAGTTTCGTTTTCATGTTGAGTTGTTGCACAAACAAAGCACCGATGTGGCAAGAATCGAGCTCGACACTCCAAAAAGTCGTCGTCGTTGGTTTTTTTTCAAAGCGTAACTGTGCCCAAAATCGAATGGAAACGAGGAAGACGGAAAGGAACGGCGACTTGAGGGAATGGTTCCATCCCTGAGCGGCACAGAGAAGCAGAGACGGGGGGCGGGGCCTACCACGGCGGGCGAGGGCACGTGGATGCTGATCACCGAGCGCGGGCGAATGTGATTGGCCAAGTGGCAAAGCACCACGCCGTCCATCAGCGAGGTGCCCAGGTCGTCGGGAAGCGCCAACTTCAGCCGGCTCTCGATGCTCTGTTTCCAAAACAAAAGCCATTTTTGTCACACACAAACAAAAACAACCCACAACAACTTAAGAGTTGAGAGTTGAGAGGCGGGGACCCCTGCGGAAATGCCGTTTTTATGGCCGCCCTCGCTCCACCCCCAACACGACGCTGGAATTTTGAATTCTTGCCCATTTTGCCTCAAGTGTCCGCGCCTCGTATTCAGTAGCGAGGGGACGCGTTTGCCTTTGCTTGATGCTGTTCTTTTTGCCGGGTCGTCATCGTCAATTCCAAAGGGCGGCAGATTTCATGCGTCTTTTCGGGCCCAAATGACAAATGGCCTCCCGAATGTCACCTCACGGCGTCCAAAACAAAACAAAAAAAAAAACAAAAAACTGCTTACGTCTCGGAGCTGTTCCATCAGCTCCAGCTCTTCCCTCAGCTGCTCCATCTTCCTCCTCATGGTGAACTGCGGGTCCACACACTCCGCACTCTTGTGGCTGCGTAGGAACACTGAGCAGCGAGTACACAAAGGAAAGGGAAAAATAAAAATAAAAATAAAAATAAAAGAGAGAAAGAAAGAAGCCGCGTTGAATTTTCAAGCGGCGGCGCTTTCGTTCATTCGCCAGCAGCCGAGTGGCCCTGCCGCCGGCGCTTTGCGAACGCGCGTACATTGGCCGTGCTCTGGTGCAGCACCGTTTTCCGGGAGCGGGGACGTGCGGCCGATCGCGGACGTCGGCCCGAGTCGCGCTCCCTCAGCCGCGCCGCGACGGCCGCGGTCAAGTTTTGGACATTGCCATCACTCAGTTAGGGGAAATTGGATTTGAAAAATGATACCCGTACACCGGGGCATATATCGATATATTCCTTCATTTGTCCCAAAACGCTGATCCAAGTTTGCGGTTGGGCGGAAAACTTTTGAAATGTCGTCTGTGGAGACGTCGTGAAATCGAAATCCAGGCCATGGATGGCGATGCTGACGACTCGTTGCCTTTGACATCAAAACAACCGCGAGGATCATTTTGGCCACAAAACTACCAAGCCAAGGGCCGCACATCGGTCGAAGCAACAAATGCGGGGCCCTCGAGACGCCGCCCGAAGGCTGAAACCTACCGCGCTCAGGCGCGCCTCCGTCGCCCCGGCTACGTTGCAAACTTCCAAAGAGGGGCGGGGCCTGCGAGAGACGGGCGGGGGAGGAAGGGGGCGAGCAGGGAAGCGAGGACGGGGCTGCGATCGGGAAGGGAGGGGCGTGGGGTGCGTGCATACGCGTGCATTGTGGGGAAAAGTCCATGCGGCGGATCATCGCAACAACGTTGTCAATAAA